CTATATACAATGTTGCAGTAAAAATTATGAATATATATATATATATATATATATATATATTCAAAAAATCAAACAACAACATTCTTATAGGCATCACACTTTAATATGTTAAATTGAAAAAGTAGTTTTCCAACAAAAAGACTTTCTGATGGCGGTCTGGAATACAAAACAGACAGAAAATTATCCCAAACAGAACCTAAGTCTATTCTTGATGGTCTTAAATATTACAAGTTCAATTGTAAAATCGTTGAAAGTACTATCATACTTGGTAGAATGATAGTGCTATTTAATCTTATGACTAATAATACAATATAATGTCAATTTAACATCGTAACAATATATATACATATATAAATATATAATTAGTTACATGTAATAAATGTAAATTTTATTTGCAAATATTATTCAAGAACGCACATACCCAAAATTTGATGATATCATTAACTCAATATAAAAACTTTTGCATGTTTACATTACCATCTCATCCTCTCTGATTCTCTCTCTAATTAAAATAGCCATTTTCTTCTTCAACTTCAGCTGAAACTTCAGCTGTTCATACATATTTATTTGTAGCATCCAACCAGAAGAAGCATACACTAACTTTTTAGCCTATCATGCTTCCAAAATTTCACTTCCAACTCCCAAAACTTCATCAGCTAGCTGCAATATCACCACCATTCTTTCCCCAACATATCACCTAATTACATTGATCCAACTTGAATGAATCAAACAGCACTAGCTTATTCATGAGCTTCGCCAGCCGACGTGATCCAGGTCCCGGTTTGAGCCTCCCATCATTGTCCACCTTCGAGCAATTGGTCATCTCTTCGCACCATCCTCCCGGCGTCACCATATTCATCGGCCGGCGGAGAAGCTTGGCGTCGATCTTGTCGAGCACGGGATCATCCTTTCTGAACTTTCTGGCAAAGGGGGCATTGCTTCTGATCATTTTTGCAGTGTCGTTGAGGGAGAGAATGTGTGGGTGTTGCTTGGGAGGCTTGTCCCATGAGATGTAGTGCAGGTCGTGGTTTATGACTGTGGAGTTGAATTCTGGGGAGTTGCAGAGGACTGTTTGGAAGTAGCCTTCAGGTGATGAGAGGAAATTGGTGTAGTACATGAGGAGAGTTCTTGGTAGGTTGTCCCAGCCCCAGATGCAGAATTCGATGAATTCTCGGGTTAGAACCATCCATGCAGATCCTGTGGAGTTGCAGGTTAGCTGTCAAAGATTTAATTTTGATGTTTTTGTTTTTATTTTTTTTTAAATTTTTTTATAAACCCAAATAAATTTTAAAAAAAAATGCCTCCTGAATTGCAGGGGAAACTTCATGATAACTTGGAAATATGTTCTTGTATCATAACGACGCTTCAGTCTTTTTGGGATTTCGGGTTAGAGCACGATGTGAACTCAAATTAGCTAAAAAATGTGCACTGTCTTGTAGGAGGAAACCCTATGATAATTGGAAAATGTGCTCTTGTATCATAGAAGAATTTCCAACTCGTGCTGGAATAGAGCATGTATTCTCCTTTCTATGGTAGAAACTTTTATAACGACTTTAACTAGGGAGCTATGTATAATGCTTCTTCAAATATCAATCACTGATTGTCGATATTAATCGTCAACTATTAAGGTCGTTGAGTTGATAGACTCCTCCATATACGTCTTTTTAATGACATAAAGACCTACCAAGTTAGGTTTAATTTTTTTTGTCAACTTTAGATTTAATCATTCATATGCTAAAATATTGGTATGTCAGTTAATCCTTCATCCCATGAGGATTAGAAATACATCTTTATCGGATTGCTTTTTATATATTGGAGTGTGAGAAATGACCATTAATTTGATACCCCTCCACCAACGGGGATAAAGTTTGTTGACAATGGAATCCCTTGATATGCTTTCTCTGATGTCGACTATCTTGAGATTTTTTTTTGAACGAACTTTCTTTAAATTTCATCTTTGAATGTCATATCTTTGAGAGTACAAATCCGATGTCATGTCAATTTTTGCTTTGATCATTTCACCTTCATTAATTTTGAGCTATTGTTACAAAAGGAAGATAACAACTTCCTGGTTGAAACCTTAATGGTCTCAACCACCATAAGCTTTTAACATTATTTGTTCATGAAGTTTTTTCTTTGACAACTTTGAAATCTTGTGTGTTTTAGCGGACACAATTTTAAGGAATGATTTAATATTGTTGATCCCAAAAGGGTTGCTCAATGTCACTAGCAGAGCTATTCATTTTAACTCACTTTAGACTTTTGAATTAGCTACAGATATGAATACTCACTGTTGGGACTAGAGCTTACTGAATGATCGATTGCTTAAGTAGTAATTATTGAGCTCTCAATATTTCTTTTTCACTTTCTCCTCTCAAATAATTTTCTTCTTCAACAAACTGAGGCCTTCTAATGTAGCTTGAAACAAATTAATTGCATTCCTAGTGATAGCGATGGGAGTCTCAAAGTCATTGAGCTAGATAGTGATCATACACAATGAGATTCTTCTAGAGAACCAGAATACTGAAATTCATCATTATGACTGCTTCTTTAGAATGCACTCTTGACATATTTTACCAACGATAAGTCTCTGAGAGTGCTAACCAGATGTCACGTCTTTTTCTTAATAGAGTCTCAATCTCCATATATACTTTTTTTTTATCGAGACCTTTCGGTCACAGATTCCTGGACATAAAGTCAGGATGCATGTCCTGATTTTCAACAAGCAAAACTCGTCTTAGTTTATGCCGAGCTATCATAGTAAATGAATGTCTCTCAATTAACACCGATCACAAAAGGTCTTTCATACTTATTCATAATTCATTTCTCCTTAACAACCCTTAAAACAGTGTGCACTTTAGCAGATTGAGATTCAAGTCTTTTCTTTGACTCCTAGTCAACTTACCTCATGATTAGGGAGCTTCAACATTATGTCTATTGAGATCTTTCAATGGTAGATACTTAGACATATGACTTAAGTATCATACCCCGATGTTCATCTTGTAGAGCTTGTCTCTATTGGGAATTTTTGATGATAAATTATTGGATTGAGATCCACTGGTCATACCCCGATGCTCATCAGACAGATTTTACTTTATGTTGGGATCTTTAGATGACAAATTGTTAGATTGAAATCTAATGCAACTCAATATTTATCTTTTCTTAGGATATTATGAAGGCAATTTATCAGATTGAGAATCATAGATCATGCCTTAATGCTCAACAGACAATTTATCTTTCTGTTGACAGTAGATACGAAGGTCATGCCCCAAAGTTCACTTGACATAATTTATCATTTTATTAGGACCTCTAGAATAAAATCTAAGGGTCATGCTTTAATGCTCACCAAATAGAGTTTACTTAAGCTTTGAGTAATTACAATAAATGAAAACAAATTGACTTCTCATTTATCTTCTTTATTTTCTTAAGCTACTATTATAGTGACTAAATATATGACTAGCTAAAGATGGAAAAAGAAACATTTTCCATCTTATTCGTCAGAAATCTGTGGGCTCCGAAAATTATGACAGCTCCCTGTGAACTATGCATTTTGTTTTAATTTTATTTTTTTGAGAGAGCTCAGGAGAGTTGAATTTTCAAAAAGAAGATTTGATTGTAGATAAGATACTGCCTAGAGATTTTGCTATCATTTTGCGAGTACTTTTTTATATGTTGTTCAAGGTTTCCCATAGGCACAAGCCTCTATTGTTAATTACCCCTCTTGATAATGGGAGAACACTTTCAATTTCGACTAGTCATTAAAAATTTAATATTCAATATATAATAACAACAAACTTAGAATTTAAGTTGTAGAATTCGTCACTTGAGGCTTAAACTAGATGGTTGGAAAATGAAAAAGACAAATGATCAAGATCTCATGGTTCTGTCAACTCGGGCTATCGCAGTAACTTATCTACTTAATGAGAGGAGGTAATTCACCTAACATAATAGAAGAATCCTTGTCAACAACCATAAGTTGTGTGGTTATATATTTGAGGTAACAAATTTAAGTCGATCATAACTAATTAAACGCTTTGTGTCAATCAACTGTACTCTTATGATTCATAACTAAAATGATAGAAAGTCGTTGGAAAACAAACAGAGCATTTGGTGGCAACCATCTGGTCAAAAAGCTCTGGTCGTAACTGATACTTTGCGGTGTCATTTGGAGATAGAGTATTGCAAATAGAGAACTCGAGTCATGTCCTTACTGCCATGCAAATATTTTAATTGTGAATATAATGATACATTTGATATGAGATTTATTTTTTTGTGAGCTGAAATCAATCAGAAGTTTGCCACTCTCAACAAATTATTGCGAAGATGAATCAAATTTGTTTTTAGCGTTTAGTGATTTATTTCAACTTGAGTATTTTAGTTGACTACTTTAAAAAAAATCTTGATTTAAAAGATTGACCCCTCCAATTGAAATATTAGATTAACACGACCATCATCACCGTTTTAAATACTTTAAAGCTTTTAGATTTATAAGGGTTTTAAAACATTTAGGGTATGTTTGGGGCAGCTTATTTGGTACGGTGGCGTTTTGAAAACGCACCTGACCCTGACCTGTTTTCGCACCTGACCTGTTTTGGTAAACTGCGTTTTGACAGCTTATGCGTTTTCAAAATGCAGAAAACAGTTTTTACAAACCGTACATATATCTATCTAGGTGCAGTGGGAGCTTATTGGCAATGGTCCGGCTTTTCCAAAAATATAAAAATTTGAAATAGCCACCGCACCTAGCTTATTAGTAGATTATTTTTAATCAGCTTATGAGTAGATTATTCAATAAGCTACAACTGCCCCAAACAGACTTTTATTTGACGAGAAACCGCAACAAAGACGAAGCTTCCCGACTTCTTCTCGACTGCAAACACATGCTCTGTAACTCTTGTTCAATCCTCACCAATGGAGTTGTAAAAAAAAAATAATAAACAAACAAACAAATCAAACAAATAAACGAACAAAAAATTAAAAAAAATAAAAATAAAATCAAAATGCAGAGAGTTCACAGAGAGGCGTCTTTGAATTTTCGGAGCCTGCAATTTGTTTTGGATTAGGTTTGAATAGTTTTGATTTTTGATCCGGAACTCGATTTGATTTGATGAAGTTATCTGTTTTTGTGGAACTTATGCTACTTCATAGGATATGTATATATATATATATATATATATTGATGTGTGCTAGAAAATTCGCGGCGATAAAGTGACAGATTATCATCTTAGCGTTGTGAGAGAATTCAGCATACACACAGATGAAAGAGAAACAAGCAGTGATGACTCCAAAAACTTTTACGTGAAAAACCTGAAAAGAGAAAAATAACGGGGCCTAGTTTAATTGCGAAACTCCACTATTGATTGATGATTATAGAAATTCCTTGTCCCACAGACGGGAAATGATTATTAGATTTTCAGATTACCGTGTCGACTGACAGTGTCTGGTTGGTGGTGATTGATGATGATTGGTGGTGATCGATAATAGATGACAGAGGTCAACAAAAGGACGGTGAGCGGTGAGCAGTGGTCGATGGTGGTTGACGGCAGACGGCGATCGGTTGTGGTCGATAACGGTAGACAGTGATCAACAGAGGTCAGCGGTGATCGGCGGTAATCGACGGCACTCGATGACGGTTGGCGACGATCGACAAAGGTCGGCGCTGATCGATGGTGGTCGACGACAGTCTGCGGTTGTTGACGGCGATTTGCAATGACAATGATGATATTAGACTTAAGCTCATTCTCAAAGCCTCAAATTTTCTCTCAAGCCCCCTCTCTCATGTGAGGGGTGGGGCTCTATTTATAGTGTTCTGGGTGCAATCAATGCAGGAACATGAAACATTTTGATTAAACGGCCCAGAGAGGTTCCCTCGATTGGATGACATTTGATGGATATTTGGGTCTCTTAATAATATCAGAATTGAGCAATCTTAAGTTTGTTGGATTGATCTTGTTAAGACGGTTGTTTCAATCACGAGCCAACTAGATTTGACATCTGTTTGACCTTCCAAATGCATCCGAAAATCCTCCAAAAGTGGTTTAATGTTTTAATCCGGGTTTGATCTGACTCGGATCAGACTAGTTTTTATATCATTGGGTCTGTCTCATCGAGGCCGTCATCGAGCCGGTCAGTTTGACTATAAGTTTACTAAAATCGATGTTTTGGATGACTTAATTAAAGTTTGAATGTTTCTTGCTCAAAAGGTTGCATTGAGATTCTTGTCCTGCCTCGAGATTCGTGTCATACCTCAAGATTCGTGATGGATGATGAAAAATTATTGGTGGCGTATCTGAGAGAGAGAGAGAGAGAGAGAGAGAGAGAGAGCAAATAGATTACGTAAAGGCATTGCAATCTATTTTTCCAGAAATAATTGCACCGTAACTGATCGTCCAAACATTTATCCTCCTTCACCAACACCAAAATCCAGAAAAGCTAACTAATTTAAATTTTAATTTGGTTCAAACAGTTCCATTATGGACAAATAAAAATAAATTGTTTATTAAAAGTTAATGAAGGACAAACATTACACATTACATATCTTAATTACATAATAATCAAATTTTACATATAATTAAATTATTAATTTTTAAATTTATTCGAAATAAAATTTTCAGCAAAATTTCGTGTTTTTCACCCCAAGATATATTAAATATTAAACAGTATTTATGTCTTATTTCAAGTAAGAGATTCGGAAAAAAAATTACATCAGGACTCTGCTACAGCAGGACATTGCATGTAGAGTTACATGCGTAGTCCAATGAAATCACGCTGCACACGTGAAGGTGAGAAAAAAAAAATCGGCCCGGTAACACAGGAGAATATTCCTCCCGTGTTATTCAGGTGTTATTGTGTGTTATTCAAATATTATTGATGTGTTATTGCGTTATTATAACATCAGAAATATTTCCAGAACACAAAAATACATGAATAACATACAATAATATCTGAATAATACGGGGGGAGAATATTCTCTTATATTATCTGTTTTATCTGGAATATTCTCCCGTGGCGTGATTTAATTGGACTCCGCGCGTAACTCTATGTGCAGAATCCTGATGTAATATTTTTTCAGAGATTTTGAGGGTGCAAAACATGTATTTAAAATTAATATCGGACGGTAAAAACCTGCCAAATATTATAGTCTAACAAATGCGCTACGAAGCTGAAGGAAAAACGGGTTTTTTTTTGGCTTATTTGACGCGCCCTTCCAAACTTTTTTTTTTAATTATTATTTTTAATTTTAATTCCAACAGTATTTAATTATTTTTCCTGTTTTTAATCTTTGAATATTGTTTAGATGACATGACTGAGTCCAATCCGTACTTTATCATAGACTTAATTGGCTATTTATTTTCTTAAGTCCGTGCTTGACATATGGAATTTGTTTCATAATCTATCTTCTTCTAGAAAAAAAAAAAATTTACATAGATGCCACACAATTCTTATGCATTTACATATCTAACACTCGGTGATATTTACAAATCTAACCGTCATGTAACTTCTTAAACTAATAAATCGATGCATTTATTTGTGTCATGATCAAAATATTGAGAATTGGAGGTTTTATGATGAATTTTGATATTTGACTGAGAAATTGAAAAATGGACGAAAGATGATGGCTAACTCGTAAAAAGTGGTATGTATGCAATTGCCCCTAAAATTTATCCATGAAACTATGTGTTTCACTTTAATAAAGTTTGTAATAGCGATATTTTTTATGTAATATCGAAAATATGACTGGCATGTATATAAATACGAAAGCTTAGACTTAATATATTTTCTGACTCAAAAGTTCTGTGGTAAGCTACCTAACTTATAAAGTTTAGCCATTAGTTGACGTCAATAGGGTTATTAATATGCCCTGATACTTAAATCATCATTTAAATTTATATTTGGGGCATTTACATATACACCCTCCTATTCCAACGTATTTACATATCAAACATCTAAATGTGAAATACACCTTCTCATGCACAGTTAAGATGATATATATGTAAAAATGAAGTTTAAGAGTTAGAAATGTAAACACAACTATTTATAAATGCAAATTAAATTTGAGCATCTATGAAGAGATAAAGTAATCATTTTTTTAAAAACTCTGAATTGCTCAAACATAAACACTAAAAAGATAATTAATTAGGATAAAATAAGTAATTTAAAATCACCTGTGAAGAGCGTAAACGCAGTAGGCAATTCTCTCCTCGGCGCGACCCAGAAAACGTCAGACTTGGTCGTCTTGTAAAGCCCAGGATCGATAATCAATGGCTTCGCCCTCTGTTCTCTGAAATCAAAACACAAACAGTTCTTCTAACCCCAATTCTTACAGAAAAATCCAATCTTAATCGCTTTAACTTACTCCTTCCATCCCAATACACTGCTGTGCTCCACAAAGTTGAGATTTTTCGGCAATTTTGAGAAAGTAAGCAGCAAATCTATAAGCAAAAACAAAAGTATCGGCGATCAGTTTAAAAAAGTTTAGAACTTTAATCTTTGCGAGGAAGACGAAGATCAGAACTGACCATCCTGCGTTACAAGAGGGTAATCCGAAGCACTGAGGTTGATGAACCAATCCCAATCGTTGCTCTTCTTGAGAAGAATTGCGCAAGCGTGGAGAGTGTTGGCCACCATTGTTGGGCCTCTGTATGTTACCATGTTAGCCTTGGTGATCACGTGCACGTTTCCCACGATGGAGAAGACAGACTGGTTCGCGACTCTTGCGGCGAGACTTTTCCGCTCCTCCGCCGGCGATTCGAGGTCGAGGTGTAGAACGTAGAGGTTTCGAGGGTGATAGATGGCGTAGAGAGTTCTCCATATGCTATCAAGATCGCCTTTTGAGCCGGAAATAAGGTAGGCGAAGCGGGGGATGATGGCGGCAGGTGGAGGTGGAGGAGGAGGTGGAGAGAGAGGAGGTATAGGAGGTGGTGGCTCGGGAGAAGGAGCGGAGGTTTCGATGGCCGGAGAGAAGAGGGCGGCGTTGAGAGTGGAGAGAGAGGCGAGGAGGCCCATGTTGAGAGTGGTGAGGAGGAGGAAGGCGAAGATGAGGGAGCTAACGAAAATGGGAAGAGCCCATTTTTTCTCTGCTGGTAAAGGAGGAAGAGATATTCTTCCTTTCAGGTAATCCATCTTTCCCTGTTCTTGCTCTTTTGGGCTCTCTAGACGTTTTCTTTCAGAAAAGCTTCATATTTTGAATAAAAGAAGAGATTTTGAGAATTGGATGTTAGAAGAAATAGCAGAACGGTTATAATTCCGAGAGAGCGAATTGGTGTAAAGAATAAAAAAACAGATTGACGAAGGATCGAAGAGAATAAAAAAGGCAAACAGGGGAGAAATCTCTTGCCTTGGGATTGCTTTGTAGCAGAGGTTCCAGATGAGAAAAAGGGACAATTTTTTATGAAGAAAAATGAAGATTGAAGTGAAGGAAAATGATGAAGCATAAACTCTGTTGCTTTGGGTATTAGAAAGTAGGCTCGGAGCTCTGCACAGAGAGAAGAAGATGACGAAGACGAAGAAGAAGAAAAGTGCGACCAAACAGTTTGGGAGAATTAATTTTATGGAGGGAGGGGTCTTCGGCAGTTTGGTCAGTTGACTAGTTCTATCTATGTTTCGTGATGGAGCCCAAATATTTCGGGAAATGGCTCGGTATTTGGACTGTATGGAAAAGGAAGGAGAAGAGCATGGACCAAAGTCAAGCTTTATAATATAGGGAGCTGATAAGAGTTTTTTATTTTTTATTTTTAGAACATCAAATTACCAAGGAGATTAAAAAATACAAGCAGTCTATACCGGACTCTGGATGCATCCGAAGTCTAATGATGAGATGTCACGTGTCAGGTGGTGTGGTGAGACCCACTTGACTCGTGGCGCCCCGCCATTGAACTCCAGACACAAATTACGTCCGGCGGAGTCCGGTTGTAATATTTCTTCTATGTATTAGATTGTAAAAATGATAAGCTTCAACCAAATCCATTTTCTTAAAAGCAATCCAAGCATAAGATTGTGCCCAGAATGAAAAAATATCATGTGCAGCTATGGGAAAGGTGGTACAGAAGATGTTCGAACGAGGATGTAGATTGCACTTAATATTTTTTAGTCATAAATTTAGTTTGCACTTCATGAAATATATCTTTCAAGAAGATAAGGGTGTGTCCATGCTATGTAATTCTTAAACATTTGGCAAATTAAATTTTTATAATTCCTTATATAAAACTCTATTATCTCAATCACATTAAATTTTATGCTTAAAAATATGTGTTTTATTTGAAAGACATTGACATTAGTAATATTTATATGTAATTCTTACGGATTTGTGACGGTCAACTTTCCTTTTAGTAGAGTTTGATGTAAAAAAATTGGGCCAATACCTCGCCGTGTCAGTCCAGAAATATTGTTCTAGCTGTTGTCTGGATTCTCTCAACAAAGATGATGCCAAATGGCATTAAAATAAAGCTTAATAATAATAATAATAATAATAATAATAGCAAATATATTGGTACATCTCCAATAAATCTCCATCATCCGACACGAAGCTTGAGACATGACACAAATCTCGAGGCTACTTTTTGAGCAAGAAATATTGAAACATCGATAAAAAGTCATTCAGAATTCTGATTTCATCAAAATTGCAGTCAAACTGACTCGCATGACAAGAAGAACTCAATGTTACTGAAATTGGTCTAATCTGAACCAAGTCAAGCCCAGATCAAACCATTAAACAGTTTTTGTTAGTTTTCTGAATATATTTGGAAGGTCAAACGAATGTCGACTTTGATGAGCCTATAGTCAAATCGAGCGTCTTAACAAGGAAAATCTAAAAAACCTATATAAATCAATTTTAAGATCATTAAGACACTCAAATGTTAATAAACTATTGTCCAATTGAGAGAAGCCTTATTAGACGTATGATCAAAGTGATTGATATTCATGCATTAATTGCACCCAGATAGAACTCCACTCCTCTCATGAGGGGAGAGAGGAGGAAAGTTTGAGACTTAACAAAGAACTTGAAGCTTTGATAAGAAACTGAAGTCCAACACTACTCATGTTGTCGTCGACCACCGTTAACCGCTATCCACCACGACCTACTACCGCCGACTGTCGTCGACCACCTCCAATCTCTATCAACCACTGCTGAGCACTGTCGATCACCACCAACCACCACTGACAGGATGCCGCCAATCATTATTAGTTTCCTCCAGTCAACGTTATAACTTGGGAAACCCAATAACCCTTTCCAACCTGTGAGACAAGCGGTTGCAACTGTAATCATCCTTTTCTAGTTGAACCCTTCAGTTGGGTCAGGTCTCATGGTTTTTCTCTTTTCAGTTTTATACGTAAGAACTTTTGGTGTCTGTTGACCTCACTTTTGGTTGAGGTCTAGAAACTTCTTTAGTAGTCTAGGTCTAGCCATAGGACTTTCCTATTGACTAGTCTTAGAAAATTAGAAAAGGTACCCCCACCATTAGAAATTCAAAACTCTTCTTTTACTCAACTTGAAATTCCACATATTGATCTTAACCTCTAGCATTTAGTAGGTAAGATCATTATAAGAGAATTCAAGAAGAGTCCCTATAGGATTACTTGACTTTAGGGTCGACCCTAGGTGTTGACTTGGGACTAGGATACATCATATCTTCACAATACATTAA